ACACACCCACACCCAACTTCTCCAAGAATGTATAGGTTTATTAAAAAGCTGGTCTTTTTCTATTTGTTATAATAACAAACAAATCTTCGCCGATTTCTGTTTGGCTGTTGATGTAGATTTATTTTGAGAAGTGTCTTTTTCGATTCGTTTCTCTAGTTCGATTTGAAACCGAATAAATTCTGTCAGAGATAATTTTCCCTGACCATTACCCGGTATATACTGACAATCGTCTTGTAACGAACGAAAAGTAGAATTGTCTCCACTCGTTTTCGACATATTGTACAAACGAACAAGACAAATTCCATCGTAGTGTTTGAGTAACTGCGCAAAGATGGTCAGCTGATGTATTTGACACCAACCGACTACATCATCACATGTCCATTCATTGACCGATTTATTTTCGTGCGCAGTGGACAAGATTTTCACAGATTCTTCACTCTTTCGAGCGGAGTTCGAGGTTGATTTTGAACTTTGGTCGCCGAAGGTCGTATCAATATGTTTCATCTCCACTTCGAGCATGTCGAACGCTTTGTTAAATTCATGTTTCGTGAAATCAATATGTATACGAGATCCGATGATAAAACCAAGCCAATTCTTAGCTTTATATTTCGATTGAGCTACGATAGGTACAATATGACGTTGAAGAACGTACGCATAATCAGCCTCATGATGACAAGCATTACTACGTTCATAGTTTGCACTCATGCACAATATGATACACTCGGAATTCTCAATGGCACTAGCCATAGCTCTTACCGAGCTTCCGTGCATATTTTCCTCATCGAACCACACTCGATATCCCTTGCTTCTTAAACGCTCAAAGATCGGTTTACAAATTGTTTTCTCTGCCCAACAATAACTAAGCATTAAATCGAATTGATAGTTTCCAGTAGAGAATGGTTTTCGTTGTACACTTCAAAATACGAAGAAGACACACATTAGATAGAAACACAAAAAAAAAACAGTGAACAAAACATTAATACTTGTCTAATTGAGTGTTTTCATTCTCAGCATTTGTCGATTGTTCAGGTGATGCGTTCTGTTGATTTCTGTGATTCAAATTCCATAAAATGCCTTCTGCTGATCGTACTATATCTTCATCCAAAACCGATTTTGGATCATCGATAAATTTTTGAAGTCGCTGCAAAAAAGTTTTATGAGAATGAAATTTTTCGTGTAAGCTTGTATTAAATGATAGTGTCCAAAAGATGTCATAAACCAGATTATAATCAGCACTAATTGAAATAAGATAATCAAAATAATTGGTTGATGTTGCTACACTTGCTTGAATTATCTCATTATGAACTAACGATGATAATGCTCGAAAAAGTAAGTGTATCGGCACTCGTTTGTAGCATTTGTTCGATGATTGATGTGCCTGTCGAATGGCATCAAAATATAAGTCGGTTAATTCATCACCTGGAATCTTTAATTGTCGCATTGTTCCATCATCAAGTAATACTCCAAGCAACATACATGCTTGTAAACGAAGTCGATCATAATCAGCATGCATATAATTATTAATTGCATCTACTGCATTATTCTGTTGTAAATAAAATCGTGTAGATGGTTCATTGCTGCAATTCTTCAATTGTGCCATCAAAGTATCGGCAAGAATTGTGCTTTCATTTGTCCAAGTAGATAAAAGATTTTTTCGTACAAAATCAGATTTTAACAACTGAAGAAGAAGATTGAAATATTCATCATTGTTAATAAATGTTTTTACATTGTAACAATTGGTCATAAGTAAACAGATTCCAGTGAGATATTTTCTATATCTTTCAATTGAAGAAAATAAAGATGAAAATCAGCTAAACGAACATCAAATATTTTCTTTCCAATAGTTTCCACGATTTGATATGATTGAATAGTTTTCAAAGCATTTTCAAAAGATAATTGATTACACTGTAGAACACCCGTAACAAAGGAGCACGTACGAATAAAAAAATGACGAGCAGGAATATGTGTTTCTATTGACGGTGTCAAATATTTTTGGTACCAATCGGAAAGAACGCATGATAATATACTTTGACGAAGTGGCTCAATTAATTCTTTAACTAAATTGTCATGACGATGAATAAAATGAGCGATTGCTTCAAGACAGATGCAGAGAGAGAACACAAAATTATGTTGATGAAAATGATCGTCAATGCGAAGCATATCGATAATTGTGACGAGATTTTGAAGAATATCAACATTTAATAAAATTTGTGCTTGAACATTTATTTGTTGCTTATCATTTGTGTTTTTAGTAGCAATAGATTGATTAAACAATCTGACTTGTTCAATATATTTTAAACGACTTTGAGCATTCTTGTTGACATCGTTCAGACAATCTTGTAAAAGATCAAACGCTGTTTGTTCAATCGAAATTAACAATGAAGTGAGATCTGATGAACATAAAATATCGTCAGTATTAATAGATTGCAGAGCACCAACTGCTTCATTCAACTGATTCCCTTTCACCAGCTCACAAACGTAGAGAACTTGCTCTTTTATTCCACTATTCGTCATGTTTCAATAACTAATTTCTTCTTGTTTAGATTTTTCAACGAGAAATAATCGAGAAAAAAAATAAGCGTCTTATTCTTTTTCTATTCTGTTTGCGTTGCTAGGTTCTGGAAATTATTTAAAAAGAGAATAAAAAATGTCTATGTTGCTCGTTCAGAATGAGTTCTCATCATACTGTTAGTTTTTTTTTCATTTTTTCTGCATGACCTGTTAACATTTTTATGTTCTCATTTATTAGGAGTCAATTTTTTTTCTCTTCATAAAAATCGAATTTTCGTTGCACTCGTGACCCATGTCAGCTTGTATGCTATTGGGACGGGTGATACAAGGCGCACGTAACGCATACGTAGCACGACCATCGTACACTACACATACTCGTTGTGAGAGCCGTTCGTAATGCGCACAAACTATTACGTTGCTCTTTTTTTCAATTGGCTCATTTCTATGAACCAGTAAAAAAAAAAAAGAAAAGCAAATTATTAATAAATCGTTTAGTTTTTACTATTTGTAAGATCGACATTACCATGGTAGTTGCTGGAATAAAGACACCTAACTGCTCGAAAAAGGTTTGCTCAAAAAAATTTCGAGAAAAAATTTGTGTAAAGTTGTGTATAAAAGTTCTAAAAAATTATAAAAACATATTTTCTGAATGATGTTGCATGAATATGTATATAGATATCACTACAATCAGAAAGGGTTGAGTGTGGGCGTGAGTGTGGATGTGAGCGTGGGTGTGAATAGTGATCTTCTCTTCACCCATACCCACCCTCACACTTACACCCACACCACACCCACACTCACGCCCACACCCACACCCTTATGCACGCACATATATAATATCGAAATGAAGAAAAGAAGAGGAGAAGAAAGACCACGAACAAAAGTGACATGAAAGAAAAAACATAAGAAAAGATGTCGTTCCTAACACGTGTTAATAACACTTTATGCGAAAACACTTTTTTAACAAACAAACTGAGATATTTAATTAAATAGTAAAAATAACAACATAATGATTTTGATACGGATGACTAATATTACGCTTTGTCAAGGTCACTTTTAATATCTGAAATCGTCAGTTTTTATCATGAAAATAGATAGACACTATTCTTTTGTTATACATAAATTTTGAAAGGTAAGACACTGTTTGACGTTTCAGGCAGAAAAAGAAATCAAATTTAGAAACTATTTTCTGCCGTACTATACCAACAAAAAGAAAGGATTTGAGAGGAGTAACATGGCCTAAATACGTTTCTTTTTATGTGATCTGAGAAACGATTTTTTTAATCTAGTATATACAGCACAAAACAAAACAAAATAAACAGTGACATTTAAAATAGTTTCATATTAGAAGTCCGTTTGTTCTTCGTTGACTACGTAACCCAATAAATAAATGCAAATATTTCGATATATGATCATTGTAATTTAACTTTTCTTTTGAATCATATTTACACATAAATATTTTAGACAGAGTTGGACCAGATATGCTTGAAATAGGTTTTGAATTTTCTCATTCATAGCAAAATCGACTGTGATTTTCTGTTCCAATTAACTATATCAATATAGACATCAGTAATCAAAAGAAGTTTGAAAACTGTTTGTACCACATTCAATTGTTCATCTACACTGAGTTCATATTTATTTGAAGTCAGTATATGTAATCGCGTATTGCGATGACACTCATTTGTATTGATCGGTGCTCGACACAAGAGTACTAATTTGACGATCAGTAGAGATAGATAGTTGATAGCAATGTGATTATGACAGTGAAGATAAAGAGGGATGAAGTAAGACTGTGGAAGTAAGGACGAGCGGCTTTGTGGGAAGACAAATTCTATAAATCTGCATTCTGAAAGTTATATTGTGGTTCAGAACGCATCTTGTACTCGTGTTGGTGTAGCCCTCTTGAGAGTGTGGATGTAGGTGTGGGGGTGTTGGCGTGTTGGTTGTTGATTTTTGGTTCTTTCAAACTCGTACGCCATTCCCACATTCATACTCACGCCCACACCCATACACACCCACACCCACGTCTGCTCATGCACATAAGATGGTTAGGCTGAAAGGATTTTTCAGCACCATTGTCAGATTAGGAAAGATTTGCTGTCTATTTTTGTCAAATACAGAATGATTTAGGCTATAATTTGATGCAATTTGAATTTAGATTGTTGTTGAACTTCATGAAAATAAACATCTTTTCGAGTTTTAATGAATTTTATACAGATAGCCAGTCGGAAACAACATGCTGCTCAATAGTAAGATTCAGAAACATATGGTATGCAACAAGCTAAAGCTACTCGAAGAATATTCATACCTCTTTTGAGTTCAAAATGGTAATAGCAATCCATCTAATCGAACAGCGTCAATAGAAATTCTGATTATCACGAACACAATACTTGGGAAATATCAATGTATTGAGTCAATACATGGTTTGATCATCAATTTGAAAGAACAAGAGAAATCCAGATGTGGATGTGAGTTCAAGAATAACTGCAACCGCATCCACTTACACCCTCAATACTAACTTTAGTTCTTGCTTGAACATCTACAGTCATTTTCTTTTTGCTCATAGTAGCTGAAAGACGATCAAACAAGATAATTGGTTCAATAACGAAATTCTCCCATTTAAACAAATGAAATAAAATGAGCAATGCATCATTCGAAGATACTTGATCGCCTTACATCTACAATAAAGAAACCTGGCTTTTCCAATACGTTAAACTAATTTTCTGATAATATAAAATCATGGCTAAAACTATCCTCGTCAGACGTTAAAACGTCATATTGAAAAGCGTATGTGACTGCTATGAAAGAAATAAAAACATACAACGAAGCACAAGACATAGAAGGCTAAAATTTTGCATATAGTCCTAAACATGTCTAAGCATTATATTAGAATAGTTGGAACCAAATTACGTCTTTTAGTATAATCAGGCGACAAAACTGTTATAGTGCCCTATGTAAATGCCGACGTCAGTAGAAAAAAAATGACACAAATCAAGTTTATTATTGACATAAGATTTTCAACGTTTACGTCCATGATATGAATAAAGTCAATATTTTAAAAGAGCAAATAAAAATAAAATTACAGATGTAAATGACATGACCATTAAACTTCCTGTATCCTATTCTATATTGAACTAAATCAGTGAAGAAAAATTGTTGTTTCTTTATTTCAAATGATTTTTTTTAGTATATAATCTATGATTCTCTTTTGAAGAAGCTATTGTGAAAAGAAAATGACAAATAAAGCCGATCACAATCAATCTGAAGCGGGAGTGGTTGATTTAAATATAATATCTAACGAATTAGTTAAGTCAAAGAAAAAATGCTGTGGTTTAACTGTCAACGATGCACTGAAATTGTGTTCAAGTGCACTCGTTCCACTCATGATCGGTGTATTGTCCGTCGTTTTCACGATTCTACAACTACAAATTGCTCAGAAAAATCGAGAGAAAGATTTGCAAATAGCTAATTTAACTCGACAACAAGATTATGAAATTGCTGAATTACGACGACAACAAGATCAAAATATTTCCAATCAATTACGTGAAAAAGATTTACAAATCGCCAATCTCACTCGTCAACAAGATTATTTAATTGCAGAGCAACGTCGGCAACAAGATATTGAATTGGCAAGAGAACAACGTGAACAAGAAAGAGAATTTGATGACCGACGACAAAAAGATCAAGTTCTGTCTAGTTATTTAAAGGATATGTCCGATATGTTATTGCAAACAAATATTACTGTTTATAGTGAAACAAGATCGACTATATTTCGAGCGAAAACTTTAGCTGTCATCCGACAACTAGATCCGAAACGAAATGCATTTCTCATTCAGTTTTTATAAGAATCACGATTAATCATTCGACGTGGTGACGAGCCATCTGTAATTGACTTACAAGGTGTCAATCTGTCGTATATCGATTTGAGTACATCAACCACACGCGATGATTATAAGAGATCAAATATGAGTTTTTTGTATTTATCAGGAGTTGATCTAAGTAATGCATCATTTCACGGTCGATATTTAGTTAATTCAACATTTATTGAATCGACATTAACAGGAATGAATTTTCAACATAGTGATCTACGCGATGTAGATTTTTACAAATCATCATTATCATTTTCATCATTTGCTAATGCACGTGCTAGTGGTTCAGATTTTAGTAAAGCAAATCTGTTTGGTGCTAACATTAAAATTGATCAATTATTAGATGCATTTTCAATGAGTGGTGCCGTACTACCGAATAAAACGAAAGGACGAAATGAAAATCTTCTCGGCAATGGTGATGCTGAAAAATGTACTACACAACAATGGATTATTAATGGTCATTGGTCATCTATTCGTGCATATAATTATAGTAAACGTGGAGAACAAAATTCGATCATGATCAATGATAGAAATTTTTATCCTGGTAAATGTTACTTTTCAGCTAATAATAACATTACCGAAGCGTCCATGCATCAAATTATTCAATTAAATGATAAATATCAACAATGGATTCGACAACGACGAGTTATTCCTTATGTACGTGGGTATTTTGGAGAACTGCCATACAATAGTGGTCAAAATGAACAAGTGACATTTATTGTCACACAAATCGATAGTCAGAATCAAACATTGCACTCATTTATTCATCGTAAGTATCTAGTCAATACTTTACTTATGTTTTCTGCCTTTCTTGTTTTGTAGATCCTCCTATGTCAAAACTACGATATTATGAGGAAGCAGTGAAACCACTTCTCGCGAATGTGACAAAGATTCGTATCGAGATTCAATTTAAACGAGGAACGAAGAAATCGCAGATAGAATACTCTACTAATTATGGTTTTGCTGATTTAATTGATTTATCTATTGAATCAGTTTGATATATGTAATATCGATGAAAATAGTCTCGCTTCTTATTTGTTCAGATATTTGATTGCTTTTTTAGTCTCTTTATTTCAAATATATATTTACATCTGTTTCAATTTTTTTCATGGTTAATGCACGATCCGATTTCGACCGACTTAGAAACCTCAGCTGAACATATAGGTTTGGAATTTAGAAAACGTTTCAGAGTGTGAGTGAGTAATACGTGGTCAATCCAAGTGTTTCCTCTTGTTATTTGACTCGATAAGATGAGAACTTATTTCAAATCAAATAGTCGCGGAGTACAGTTATTCGACATCACCTTGATCGATCATTGCAGCTACTGGCACTACTACATAATCGATTAGTTCTTTTTAGAGTGTAGATATGGGTTAGGAGAAAGAGAAGACCCACACCCCAATTTTCGCAATGGACGATCGCAAATAGCTAGCAGTTGCTAAAAGCTCAGCCCAGCGGCTGCTCCTCTGTACATACCACCGGTTCGTTGCACTGAAGTGGCTTAAAGCCTGGATATAAATGAATATCATTAATGTATGCATTTGCTGACATCGATTGCATGGCATTTTGAGCTTGATGCAAAAGACTTATACCAGCGTCATCAATTAAATCGTCATTTCTTTTGTAATAGAAACCATCAAAAGTATATTGGAATTAAATACTGTGAACATAGGTTTTTTGTCTCAAAATCGTTCTTTCCTGAATTCAGTGAAGTAGAAGTCTTTGGTAATGTCGACATGTAATATTGATAACTACTGAAAATTATCGATAATATGTCTGAGGAAACTGGACATTTGTTATCTTTTATGCACTGATCTTTGTTTCTCTTAATGCAGATGGTTGAAATGAATTTTGTGTCTGTGAGTTGAACATTATGTTCGTTTCAATTTTTACAGTGAAAAATATTCATATGAAAATCAGGATGCTTTTTGATTATCCATACATAAACTTTAATTTGGGATAGTAGATATTACTGAAAACCATGTCCTCTTGAGTTTTGTTTCATTATTATGAGCTTTCAGTCACTGAAACCTATTTCTTTTGTTTCATAGATATTTCTGTGACATATCTGAAAAATCCAGAGTGATTGGTACATTTCTTAAAAAACGATTTGTTCATTCCTTATCCTAAATTTTGATGAAAGATAAATTGAATAAACCGATGCGATGTTAAGGTTTTTATTTACACTAGACTAGAAATATATGTGTCTAGTAGCTTGTTAAAAATGTCCAACAAATGTTCATGTAGTAAGAGAAATAGGTTTTGGATGGCTGAAAGCTTATAATAATGAAATGAAATTCAAGAAAAAACCCTATATATATTGTTTTTTTTTGCAATTAGAAAAAACACTTTATTATGTATGAAACTTGATAGTACTGCTCTCTAAGAGTATTTGAGAAATTTATATTTTGAATAAAAACTTTGAAGTGTACAAAAAATTGATTCATCCAATAAAAGCATAATAAAAATATACAATTTTCTTTTTGATCAATAGCTTTCCGGACACCCTATATATAGCTATTCACAAAATGATCTGGTTTTTATAGGTGTACTAGAGGAAACGTTGATTCTACTACTATGTTTTCCGAGAGATTTTTGTGGGCTTTTTTTTATTGTTTTTCTCAAAACATAGTTTTCAGTCAGAAAGATTGAAATACTTTTCACAGAGCTCAAGAAAAAACCAATACTTTTTTTTGTTTTAAAGGTCTCAATGAGAGTAAACTTTTGATCGACTAGATTTTTCATATTTGATTCCTATGTTGAGAAAAGTGAGTTTTAGTGTCCTGGAGTCAGAGTCAGAGATGTTTTGTTTATTTTTATTCCATATGCACGAAAAATGGTCATAAAAAAATGAATGGAAACGAATTCGAAAATTTTGTGCGAGGATGTGAGTGTAGGTTTGTGTATTCTCTTGAGCAGATTCTCACACCCACAATTGAAGATTTTTACAGACATAATGTGAAAAAAGTGATAGCAGGCATTCTTTTATCAGGAGTCATATTTTGTTTTCTGATAATTAAATATTTACATACTGAGTCAATACTATTAAAGAAAAAGAATTTTATTCAAAGAAAATTATTTTATAAATAATTTTGAAATGAAAATTTCTGTAAGAATGAATCTTTTTCTGTCATAAATTTAACTGCAATTGTTTGCAAATGATGAATAAAATTCGAATTATGTGCTCTTTCAATATTATGTGCGAGTTCATGACATATTAATATATAATAAAAATTAACAATTGTATGTATCATTGATATAGATGATGATGATGTTGTTGCTTGTAAATATGGTTGAACTTTGTCAGCAAAAACTTGTTCATAATAACGAAGATTAAAAAATAATGCATGACGATCATTAAATGCAATACGAGCTACAAATTAAAAAGTAAATTATTCAAAAAATAATTTTCAATTTTTACCTCCATTAATATCTCGATAAAGATGTAATGTTTCAATAGGTATTTTAAATACATGATTAGCAAGTTCTATCAAAATCCAAGCTAATTGTTTAGCTTGATCAAGCATTTTATTTGTAATAAGAATATTTTCTTCAATATATAATGGTATTGAATGAAATAAATCTTTATAACGTATCATATTAGTTGATGGTACAATTTCACATGAATGATCAATTTCATCTTTAATATATTCTTGTTGAATAAATTTTGTTTGTGTATATTCTCGACCTTGTTTTAATATTGAAAATAATTTAGTATCATTTTTTGTTTGTTGACAATTAAAATCTTCTATACAACCATTTATTTTAACATGAGTTTCATGATAATAATGATTTAATTTAGATTTTTCTTCAATCATTTCAACAGTTGAACGTATATCTCGTTGTTTATATTGAAGTAAACGATCAACAGGTATACCACGACGTTTAAGTGTTTCTAATGGTGATGAAAGTTTATCACTTATTGTATGAACAATTGTATCAAGTGATTTTTTAAATACATATCGAACTAATTCATTTGCAATATCAATATAATCAAATCCACGTAGATGTTTTTGAAAATATAATACAACTTTATTTTTATCATATTCAAGTACACATGAACTACTATTGGTTGACTAAAATAAAAAAAAGCTATTAGCACAATCCTTGTAGGACTTAAACGTGAAACACAATGTTCCCGCTGGTGCTAATCACAGAGAGATTATTTTATTCCATGTATTTTGGAATATATTCCATTTCAAAATAGAAGACGAATAATTGTGAGTTGAATAACTGGAGAATACAAACAGCTAGCGAGCTGCGGTTTTCACCATTAGAAAGAAGGCAATGGAGCACATAAATCTATGGAAAAACTTCATTGATCAGTAATTGACCAATAGGATGAAAGTCCGTTTGACGTTTTGAACATAGCTTTTGAAACGCTTTTTCGTTGGATTTTAAACTTCAATTAAATCATTCGATAGAAAAAAATTGTTCGCTTTCGATCTACACAAGGCCGAGCTCAATAGCTTGCTTCATTCTGTAGCTATAAGCATTTTCCTGAGACAACTGAAATCGACCAGGTGGCACGGTATCACTTTTAACAGCATTACTCCGAAATAAAAAACAAACATCATCACTAAATTCAGTGTGGTTGATTACCTATAATGTAATGCTTTTAAGGATGGTTCCATGTCATCTAGCCGATTTTGGGACTCTCAGGAAAATGCTTATAGCTACCGAATGGAGCAAGCTATCGAGTTCAGCCTTGTGTAGATCGAAAGCGAACAATTTTTTTCTATCGAATGAATTAATTGAAGTTCAAAATCCAACAAAAAAAGCGTTCCAAAGCCTATCTTCAAAATGTCCATCGGATCCGGATTGAACCCAATGAGCTCTATTCGTCGAGAAAGGTTCAAATTTCTACCATGTATACTTCAATACTCCTTGTCGATTGTGTTTCACAAAAGATTAAATGATAGAAATAGTCTTACATCAAGTGTAATTGTTGTTTTTTGAAATGTTAATTGACATTGAATACTATCAACTTCATAAACAGATAAATTTGTTCGTAACATTTCAACATGTTTTTCATGAAGATTTTCCATTTCTTCACCCTAGGACAAAAAAATAAGAAATTCTAAAATTTTGAAACTTTTATATTCATATTAATATTTACTCGATTATTAACAAATAACATATCAAGACGATATTGAATTAAATCACGTAATTTATTACATCGATCTGATGTAGCAATGTTTCCTAAAGACAATTGAATTCAAATTTTATTATTTGAAATCAAAATGAAAATCGTTCACCTTTATGTACTAAAGTTCTTTTTACACATTCTGATAACCATGATGCACCAAATTTTTCATATAATTCTGTTAATTCTGGTTCATCAGGTGGTAATAATGGTCGAAGATCAATAGCACATTGATGATCATCATCAAGATAAATTTGATTAGGTGATACAATTTTAAATATACGTTGTTTTTCATTATTTGTACATCCATCAATAACTTGATAACCTAAACACCAAGCTTTAGTTTTTAATCTTTTTATTAATGACATTGATTGTAATTCATTTATTGTAATAGCAAGTTGTCGAAGACAATTTGTATAAACATATAATTTTTGTTGTAAATTATTTTGATTTAAATTTGAAAAATAATTTGCTTGTCGATCAATTAATAATTCAACTAAAGTTGTTGTAGATGGATAATGAAGTACACCAATATTAAGAAGAAAAGAATTTCCTTCAGAACCATAATCAATATAATCAATTAAACCACTTGTATCATCCATAATTAATGGAGTTGATGATATTGTTTTGAATTTTTTATTCTTTGATGTTGTTGTTGTCTTAGTATTATTTCGTTTACGACTACCATCACCAATGATTTGTGTTATTTCATCATCATCATCATCATCATCATCATCATATGTTGTTATTGAATTATCAGAACGAATAAAAACTTGTGATGGTTTCATAAAATTGTTATTTCTTTCAAGTGGAATAAAAGCAAATTTGGATACACGTTCAATTAATGTTCGACTTAGACCATCAAGTTCATTCATATAAGCAAAAATTTTTCGAGCTGTTTCTATATTGAGTATTTCTTGTTTTTTTTTCATTAAAATATCAAAAGCTATTGTTAATGTTGGACGATCTTTAATACCAAGTAATGATATATT